TTGCCGCTGTACGCGCCCGTCAGCTGCTGCGGCTGCGGAGCGGCAAAACTGCTGCTGCTGCTGCTGCTGCTGTCGAGCGGTGGCGCTGCTGCTGCTACTGTTCCCGCAGGAGCAGCAGCAGCAGCAGCAGCAGCAGCAGACTCTGCTGCTGCTGTTCGCGTGCCAGCTGCAGCAGCTAGCCAACGAGCAGCTCGGCGCTTCGCTGAGGCTCGCTGCAAAGCTGTGAGGGGCGCAGGGAGCCTGAAGCCTCCCTGACCTGCTGCTGCTGCTGCTGCAGCAGCAGCAGCAGGGAAGGCATCGGGCACTGTCTCCTCTATACGCGGGCGGCGAAGGGGCCTGAAAACCTGTGCCGCCTCTGCTGCTGCTGCAGCAACAGCCTGCTGCTGCTCCTGCTGCTGCTGCTGCTGCGTCCACCCTAAACCATGCACAGTCGCAGCGTGACTTGCTGCTGCTGCTGCTACTGCTGCATCGTCTGCAGCAGCAGCAAAACGATTGGCCTGCCCCCTCAGGGGGACCCCAAGAGGCACCGGCGGCTGCGCACTGCTGGCCGCGGGCAATCTTGTGGCCCTGCTGCTGCTGCTGCTGCTGCTGCTGCTGGCAGCAGCAGCAGCTAGGGGTTCCGATGTCTGCGTGTACGCCGGGAACCCCAAATGCCTACTTTGCTGCTGCACTGCAGCAGCACCCATTTGCTGCTGCTGCTGCTGCTCCCCGCCCGTCACCGTTGCAGCAGCAGCTGCTGCTGCTGCTGCAGTTGAGGGGTGGCGGCGGCGCCTGTCGGGCCGTCTGGCCTCTCTGGGAACAGAAGCAAACATGTCCTGCTGCTGCTGCTGCTGCAGAGGACATGCTGCTGTTGCTCCTGAGGCAGCAGCAGCAGCAGCACTAGAAGAGGAGCGGCCCCTGTGGCGGTCCTTGTGGCGTCGCTTCCTGTCTTTGTGCTGCTGCTGTAGTTGCTGATGCTGCAGTTGCTGCTGCTGCAGTTGCTGCAGCTGGAGCTCCTGCATCTGCTGCTGCTGCTGCTGAAGCGGCTGGACGTGTGCCTGCTGCTGTTGCAGAGGCGGCATGAACTGCTGCTGCCCCTGCTGCGGCTGCAGCTGGCTCGGGAGGAGTTGCTGCTGCTGTTGCTGTTGCTGCTGCTGCTGCTGCCA